TGGTGGTGGTGGGATAGAGGTGGGGTGGATGGTGATGATGATGACAGTGGTGGTGATGCGGTTCCTAATGGGTGTTTTCTTTTCCTCTCTGCATTATCTTCCTGAAAGCAGAGGAGAGAGACTCCTCCCTTGCCTCCCCCTTGCCCAGGATGTCTGTGAGGAGCATTCAGGAGCCTCATTACCACTCCCTGGTTTCTATTTCAGGATATTGACTGGGTACAGACAGAGAAGCACGTGTTTGAGCAGGCATCCAGCAACCCCTTCCTGGTCGGATTACACTCCTGCTTCCAGACGACAAGTCGGTAAGAGAAAGAAGGATGTTTCTGATGCTCCGCAGATTTCAGATTTGAACTGCACAGAAGCTAAGTCTGGTGTGATGTGTCAGCTGTTACCTGTAAGGTTCCCCAGCTGCTGTGTGGGGGTTTTCAGGTCAGCAGACTCTCTTCGTTGTTCTCCTTGGTTGGCGTCATGTTAAGTACATTTCATGATCTGAGCTTAAGTTATTTAATTCCGTTTACGAAATACTTATTGGAGGTATCCCACTCAGTGCAGGCGTTGGGTCAGGTGCTGGGGCTATGAAAGTAAGCAAGAGAGGTGGATTTCTGTGCTTATTAAAGTACATACCACTTCACCTTCAAGCTTTATATGTATTGGAATTCTGTGGCTTTGAATACATTTGAATACATTTGAATACATTTGTCCTGGTGATCTAGGACATTAAATGTATGCTGTGTTTAAAATTCTGGGGGCCAGTTACCTTTGACCTACCTGATGTGTTTATTTGAAGAGTTGTTGAGTATGTTCTGCATCGAGTCCTGAAGCCCATCCCCAGGTGCGACGATTGGCTAGGAGGAGTCCTGGGGTCAGTCATGTGGCCGCACTTGGGGCCACAGCTGGCCTACTACACTGGAGGAATAAGGGAGATTTGGCCAAGGAAAAAGGCACATGGGGAAAATTCCGGAAGAAACCAGTCGCGAGCTCCCAAGGGCCCTCTCCCAGTTCCTCCAGCAATGAATTGTGACAACTCAGGGTTTTTGTCAAGGGCTGGTCCTGCAGGCTGCACACGAACCGAGATTCCAGACTCCCAGCGGAGAGCAGCTGTTCAGCATCGCATTGGTCAGGGTTCTCCTGAGAAATAGAACCAGGAGCGTGCGTGCGTGTGTGTGTGTGTGTGTGTGTGAAGAGATTTATTGTAAGATACTGGTTCATGGGATTACGGAGGCTGAGAAATCCTACAGTCCACCATCTGCAGGCTGGAGGCCCAGGAGAGCCAGTGGCGCAGCTTGAAGGCCTGAGAACCAGGAGCTGATGAGGTCGATTCCAGTCCGAGTCTGAAGGCCTCAGAGCCAGGAGCAAGGGGGCCAGAAAGTGGATAGCTCGGTAGTCAGGGAAACACAGCCTTCTTCCTCTTTCTTGTTCTCTTCACGCCCCCAGGGGCCTGGACGATGCCCGTCTACTTCAGGGAGGGCTGTCTGCTTATTATTCCAGAAGCACCCTCACAGGCATGCCCGGAAGTCATGGGTAGCCAGCTGTCAGGGCATCCCGATCCTGTGCCCAGTCAAGGTGACCGTTGAATTCACCGTCAGGAGCATGAGGCATCTTGTTCAGGCACACACAGTTGGGGCACAGCTTTTTTTTTTTTAATGTGTTCTTCTTGTTTTTGATGGAGTCTCACTGTGTCACCCAGGCTGGAGTTCAGTGGCACCATCTCGGCTCACTGCA